AGAGATCAGTGTTTGTTCTTCTTCAAAAATCCCTCTAAGCTCCCAGCACAGTGTTTTCCACATTGCAGGGATCATAAAGTAATTGTCGACTAAAGGAGCAGACACATCATACAGTGAGGGCTTACAATTTTCAAATTAATCATCATAGGAGTTGCGGGGAGAGGGAAGGCTCCTGGGAGCCTAGGGTTGCAGAGAAAGTTCTATGAAGATGATACATCTCGAACTAGGTCTTGGAGGCTAATTGACCTTTGTGTTTTTGCTTAGGAGTGGGGGGTGAGAGAGCATTGCAGGGAGAGGCCATTCCACATGCAGAGTAGGAAGCCTGTCTGAGCCCCACATCTCTGTATGCTGGTCAGGAGTGGGGGAAAGACACACCAACCTCGACAGAGGGTTTGGGAATAGGGGATAGATCAGGATGGATTGTGTGGGGTAAATTGTCAGAGAATAGATTTTCAGGATGAGCACTTAGAATTTGCTCTAATATGCTATTACTATGATTGTATGCCTTTACTAGGGTTGTAAGCATATGGTTGGAAACAAGGAATGAAGGGAGAGTTTGTGGAAATCTAGTCTGGCAAGGCCCTGTTGGTCCCCCCTCCTTCCCAGCTTGTCTGAGCTAGATGACTTGGTGGTCGGGGCCTGGTTCCATGCTTAGCTTCAGGAATTATCTTCCTCTAGAAATCCTTTCTTCTAATCCTGCCCCTTGTGCCGACAGAGCCAGGTGGCTCCTGGCTGCTGGATGAAAAAAAAAAACAAAATGCATTTATTTTATTTTTTTATTTTTTTTTAGATTTTATTTATTTATTTATTTGAGAGAGAGAGAATGAGAGACAGAGAGCACGAGAGGGAGGAAGGTCAGAGGGAGAAGCAGACTCCCCGCCAAGCAGGGAGCCCGATGCGGGACTCGATTCTGGGACTCCAGGATCATGACCTGAGCCGAAGGCAGTCGCTTAACCGACTGAGCCACCCAGGCGCCCAAAACAAAATACATTTAAATGAAAAGCACTGGTCATGGCCTTCAAGGCTTCAAGCTCATCTCAGCATTTATTTATCCATATCTTACATATCGTGATTGCCACTATTTATCTATATCTATCTGTGTGTCTGTCTATCTTGTTAATAAATTTAAGGCTCTCATCCTTATCTCCTCAAGATTAACCCACCCATTTCTGCTAGCCAAATGAAGTCTCCTCCTCAACCTTGCTTTAAGATTCATTTCCACTATGAAATCTTTTTGGCCTTGGACCAACCACATTAAATCTCTCTGAACTTCAGGACCCTCTTCAGCAAAATGGCCTAAGCATTCCTCACCTCTTGGAGTTGATGTGAGGACTGAAAGAGAAGCTGCCTAAAGCATGGTTACTTGTATAGAGCAGAAGGAGCCAGGTGGCCCCCTCTAGCTAGCACCTGCCGCTAGGAGACTGCAGGACCCTCTCACTGGGGCATGGCACTCTTCACGGTGGATGCATGCCTTGGGTGTGCTGGCTTCAGACCCTTAAATGAAATACAGGACTGAATATGGAACAGGAATGTACAGATGTAGAATATGAGAAGTGTAAGGAAAACACACAGTCGGAGATCAGAAATGGGAGGAACACACAGTCTCCTGGCAGGGAGCATGGGAAAAGTTTTCATTGAAAAGGTGACATTTGCTGAAAAGCAGAGATGATTATATGAGTCCCTTAAAAGTAATGACTTGGTGGTCGGGGCCTGGTTTAGTGCCAGGAGCAGAGTGGGTGCTTAATAAATATTTATCAGATGAATGGTATTACTTCTACAATACATTTATTACTTCCACTCAACTTCTGTGACTGATATAAAGGTAAAATTATTTAAATGAGAAACCTCTACTTTATCATCCGAGGAACAGAAATGAATTGTCAAGTGGGTGTTGAAGATTAGCAAAGGCTATTGAGGGCAAGGTGTTAAATCACCTCTGTGAGCCTAAATCGCCAGTGGTGTAACCGTGCCAAGGTGACATGCCATCTGGGTGTACAAGAGGTCATCTAGATGTTTTACCTGTAGAACCAGGTGGAACAGAGACAGAAAGTGCAGACCCAAGTGTGTATATGTCGGTCTGTCTGGTGCTGTTTGCTCAGTACCACTGGGAGAACATTGGGACATTTCGTTTATTATGGGAGATCATTTTTACCTCCAATAAATGTATTCATTATTTAAATTCTAGAAAATCCCCATATATCTGGAACCTTTTAAGGGAAAGAAAGCTCCATAAAGTGTAGATAAATGACACTATAAATGTTTTAATGTCTTTGTTTCTTCTTCCTCCTCTCTGCCTGTTTATACCGTAATATTAATAAATGCAGCATTTTAATGAGCTTTGATGGAATCACCTTCAGAGAGTTGGTGCAGTATGTTCCTTGGAGACGCATAACTGAAGTTCCCGGGTTCTGGAAGGAAGTCTGTTCCTCATTAGCTGGGATAGCTAAGAGTGTGCTGGCTCAAGAGAGAGGGGGCCACAGCTCAAGCCCACCTGTGCGTGCACAGGACCGGCCGCGTCTCGGCCCTGCTGTGGAGTAACCCCAGGGCTTTCATTAAAAGTGTCAGATGGTTTCCCTGGAGTGAGTGCTGATGGCATGTCATGTTGGTGTCTCTGGAGGAGTAGCCCTGACACCTACTAACAGTCTGACAAATGGTTAAGTAGCTGTTTCAGCCGGGATTGAGTGAGCCAGCGTCCTCTACCTGAGCATGAGAAGAAGAGCATGTGTTCTCTTCACACTCCTGGTTGTTAAAGAGGCAAATCTGCTCTCCTCCATCCGCAGCTCCTCCCCACCCAAAACCGAACCCCCTTGCTCTGCAAAACACGCTCCCAGAGTAAAACTTACTTGCTTTAAGTAAGCAAGACTTTTTTTTTGTGAGATGCAGATGGATGTTTTTTGGGTTGGTTTGATGGTGGCTGCCCAACATCTGAAACCCCTTGTACATTTGTGGAGGTTCTCATTGCATGTTTTGGAGAAGAGGTCAGAGCCTCCTTGAGTACGTGGACAGAAGGTGAAAAGCTAGCACTTCTTTTCTGAGCACTGGCATTTAGGGCCTGGGTACTTGGTGAGACGGGAGCGGTTAGATGCCTTTTTGGAGGCCTTCACATCTATTATCAAGTGCAGCAAAGAATCAGGAGTGGACAATTCATATTAGAGGCAGCCACATCCAGGGGCCTGTAACACGAGTACCCTGTGAGGCTAGTTTTCCTGGGAAGCAGAGGCCAGACTTTTCCTGGGGAGAGTGACTGAGGTTCTTGTACCTGAGTATTTCTAACCCTTCTTTGGTTTCTAATAATTTTCAAGCTTGATTTTCCAATCTTTGCAATGATTCTGAGAGCTCTCTGATACTATTTTAATAAATTTTAATAAATTCCTCCCCCGCTAAATTGAGACAGGGACCATTTCCATGTTATAATTGACAACCCCAACTCATGCATTTATGTCCATGACTTTGTCTCCTGGCCGCTGAGATCATAGCATTGGCTTAAAAGCTTTGGCCAGGCATCTATGTGTCTAGAACACTAGTCAGTTGAACAGAATCTCCTGTTTAATACCCTTAATCATGCATCTATTCTTCCTCCTCTTCTTTTTTTGAAATAGAATCTTCCTGCAGTCTCCTGCACGTGTCGGTCTGTCTGTTGATATGCGGTACCTCGGAGCTCCTGGTTATTAAGTTAATTAGATGGAGGTTCAGTGGCCTGAATGATAGGCCAGTAGGTCAAAAAGCCCGAGTACTTTCGGCATTAGACGCTGGCCTGGGATTCTTCGGCCATTTGTTGGCGGAGCATCTGTCCTCATGGCCCCAATTAATTTAGTACGCACCGCTTTGTAAGGTGTTCCTGTGGTGCAGAGGCAGGCAATGTGTTCATGTTGTATGCACATTATAGAGCCATCTATTCTGTCCCTGACAGTTCCAATTCTAGATCCCACTGTCAAACCCAACAAAAGGGGAGAGCTTTTTTTTTTTTTTTTTTTTCTGGTAACTTTCTGGGTCCAGCTTTGGATTTGGGACTTTCTTTTTCTTTTTTTTTTTTTTTCTTTTGGAGGATGTGTGAGGTGGGGTGGAAAAAGAAGAGGTGAGATGAGAGAAGTAAAGGTTAAGCTTCATTTTTTTTTTTTAAGATAAAAACGTTGAACTTGTTTTGTGGAATTCTACTTTTGCATGTTTTTTTTTTTTTTAAAGATTTATTTATTTATTTTTGAGAGAGGGAGAATGAGAGAGAGAGAGAGTACATGAGTGGGGGAGGGTCAGAGGGAGAAGCAGACTCCCCGCCGAGCAGGGAGCCCGATGCGGGACTCGATCCGGGACTTCAGGATCATGACCTGAGCCGAAGGCAGTCGCTTAACCAACTGAGCCACCCAGGCGCCCTACTTTTGCATGTTTATAAGCAGCAAAAATGTAGCATCTGTATTCTCATAATGTACTGAATATGTAAGATCCTACGTGTTTGTGGCCACTCCCTGCAGAGTGGTTTTAACTCCTAAGTAGCCATGTTCATAGTTTTCCTCCCTTCTCTCATGACCCCGAGGAAGCCTCTAGGTTAACATAGACTTCCAGCAATAGCTGAGTAATTACCTATATTGACTCTAGGCAATAGATATTGAGATATTCAATAAATATTGAACTTAGGCAGGAAACAGAGGGGAGCTCCTGTATTAAAACAAAACACAAAACTGGACTCCCTCACATGTGAGACTGATAACAGCTTCTATGTAACCTGTGTGGTCACTGGCTGTCAAGGCTGCATCTGGGTTGTGTATCTGTCCCTATCCATGACGTATGCTACAGTTCCAGAACTTACAGGTTCTCTCCGTTTCCTGAATTCCCACACAAGCCTTGTTAGAAGGAGAAGCTCACATTTGCTTTTTCAGCAAGCACAGTTTTATTGGTATAAGCGTGCATGGCTTTTATTCATTTGGCCTCTGTTACTTTTGAGATTCATTTGTCTCTGACCAGGAAGATTCCTTTGCCTTGACCAGTGCCCTGTGTTCTCTTTCCAGGAAAGAGTGATCCTTTTTGCTTGTTGGCGTTAGGCAATGACCGACTTCAGACACACACCATTTACAAAAACCTCAACCCCGAGTGGAACAAAGTTTTTACATTGTAAGTGCTTTAGCCTCCAGATTATCAAGGAGGGGTTTTAACTTAGAGATCAATTATCCTTGATATGTTTGGGGCAGGCTGGGGCTCTTGAGTGGAACTTTCTGTCCATTTTTATGTGCAAAGAATGAATTTTATTGTTTTTTTCCTTCTGAAAACCTTTTATGCTTTCATTTTATAGAGTATAGTGTTAATAATAGAAGAGGCCATTTGGAACTGCAAGGGAGTGATATAGGAGGCATTTGTAAAGTAGATCTTTCAGTAACTCAATTAATCTGTGAGTAGATGGAAGCTTTCATATATCCAGACTAATTGATTCCTGGGTTAAAGAAAATTACAAATGTAGACCTGCCTTAAATTCAAGTTTATATGTTACAAATTATTGTAATGCCTAAGGGCTCGTTTTATGCCAGAGGCTTTTGGAAAATACAGATTATCTGTGATTCCTCAAGGAGTCCCAAAGTCTCTTTGTATTTCAGCTTGTCTGAATGACCTGCTCCACAGAGATGCCCTGTCCACTCTTTCAAACTCAGGCATTTAGGAGGCTGGATATATTTCCTAGTGTGCTTTAGATTCTGAGGTACCTGGCCGTCAAAGGGAGGCACCTGTTGATTTGGGTCAAATGGTGGTTCACTTCCCCCACAACACTGACGAAATGCTGTGTTAGTAACTGAAAGAATACGTTTTGAATGGAGTTGGTGATTCCCAGGTAGAAAGTTCCCAAGGATCAAAATTGAATTAGTAATAAAAAAACTCCCAACAAACAGAAGTCCAATACCATGTGGTTTCACTACCAAACACTTAAAGAAGAGTTAATACATACTCTTCTCAAACTTTTCCAAAAAATAGAAGAGGAAGGAAAACTCCCAAATTCATTCTATGAGGCCAGCATTACCCTGAGACCAAAACCAAATCCCCACAAAGAGAACTGTAAGCCAGGACCTCTGGTGAACATAGATGCAGAAATCCTCAACAACATATTAGCGAATGAAACCCAACAATACATTAAAAAAATCATGCACCACAGTCAAGTGGGGTTTATTCCCAAGATGCAAGGATGTTCAATATTTGCAAATCAATCAGTGTGATACATCACATCAATAAGAGGATAAAACCCATATGATCATTTCAGTAAATAGATGCAGAAAAAATATTTGACAAAATACAACATCCATTCATAGAGGGAACATACTTCAACATAATTAAGGCCTTATATGAAAAACTCACAGCTAGCATCATACTCAGTGGGAAAAAATGAGAGCTTTTCCCCTCAAGAACAGGAACAAGACAAAGATGTCCACTTTCACAACTTTTATTCAACATAGTACTGCAAGTCCTAGCCACAGCAATCAGACAAGAAAAAGAAATAAAAGACATCCAAATTAGTAAGGAAGAAGTAAAGCTTTCACTATTTGCAGATGACATAATACAGAAAACCCTAAAGACTCCACCAAAAAGGTAATAGAACTGATAAATGAATTCATGAAGGTTTTGGGATACAAAATCATTATACAGAAATCTGTTGCATTCCTATACACTAATAAGCAACAGAAAGAAAAAAATAATAAATCTCATTTATAATTATACCAAGATAATAAAATACTTAGGAACAAACTTAACCAAAGAGGTGAAAAACCTATACTCTGAAAACTAAAATACTGATGAAAGAAAGTTCCCAGGATCTATGAGAAGTGTATTAAGTCGCCTAAGCAGATTTGCAAATTGCCATATGAAAAAGTTTCTTGTTTGCTCAACACATTGCTGATGACCATGGCTCCATTTTTCATTATAGGTAATGTCTGGTTTCTGGTCAACATAAATGTTTCTAAATATGCATGGGATTTTTAGTATTTTGTGTTTCAACAATAGGAAGCTTTCTGTGGATCTCAGCAAATAGTGATTTTAATCACCTTTTTTTTTTTAAAGGGAATTCTTCATTTATTTTTTTCTTTGTTAATTTAATGTAAAGAAAATCTGATTGCCTATTTGAAATCACTGTCCTTTTACCCTCCTCATTCTGTCTCTTTTTCTTTATCCTCCTGTTTCTTTAATAGTCCTACCCTTGAGTGCATGTATACATGGAAAATGTCATAGTAAAAAAGTTGACTTTTTTTTTTCATATGGATGTCTGACTCTTCTATGATGGAAGGTTTGGGAATACAGTTCAGTTTGATTTAATTTTTGGAATTTAATTAAATAGTAGTTTTATACTCTAAGGACATAGAGGCTTAATTAGTGAAACTGTGTTTTCAGATCTTCATGGAACAGACTCCACTTGTGTGTTTTTGTATATAATACATGGTACATTTCTTGTTTCAGTCCTATTAAAGATATCCATGATGTTTTGGAAGTGACAGTGTTTGATGAAGATGGAGATAAACCTCCTGATTTTCTTGGAAAAGTTGCCATTCCCTTGCTGTCCGTAAGTTACTGTAGTTAATACCCAGTTCATAAGTAATTTTACAGTTGACAAGTTTCTATGGTCTAGAGTTGTTCTATCTTTGTCAATCTGGGGAAAAGATCCGCCCAGCTATAGCAGGAAATAACTCTTTTATTCCTTACCCTTTTCCAGTATTTTCAGTAGTTTCAGATATAAAGTAACAACTATTTAGTTGAATATTGGTTTGACCAATGAAGACATTTTGACTAGTCTTTCAATTCATTCTCAATCTTTCCATCTTAAGACGGGAATTTCTGTTTGGTTTCAAGGAATACAGATCTATGACTGAATTTCCATTTGTTAATGAAAAACATACATGTGTTTCTTTATTACCTCCTTACTACCCACTTCTTTAAAGATTAATTGCTGGTAACTGCAAAGTTGTTCCTAGCTCTACTGAAGACTATTTTCTCAAAAGTTCTATTTGTCTTTATAGTAATAGAGTTTGCTTTCAGTCTCAAAAAATGCTTTGTGGAACAGAGCAGAGAGCTTCTCTTGGAAAAAGAGTGCTATTTCAGTAGTCTAGTTAAAAGATAACATACCAGAGTAAGCTAAGAGCTGAATGAAAAAATACCCTATGAAGTCAGAGGAGAAAGCACCACATAATGCCTTTACATGGGCAAAGGAGGGAAGCTGGGATCTGAATTCACCTATTAATTGAACATTAATGTGTGTACCAAATGTACTCTTCCAGAAGAGAGAATTTCAGTTTTTCATTCAATAGTTAATGTTTCGTTGTAAAGATGTCACGGTCTTATCAGTCAATAATGCTTTATTTACTTCTTCCCAAAGACTTATTTCTCCAAAGTTATTAGTGCATTTTTGTAGCAGGAGAGGTCTGTGCTGTAACCATGAGATTAGACTAGCTCACATGATGCTTACAGTGGGAGAAACACTGCATCTCTCAGTATCTGTATGGGTTTTGATCGCCTGGTTAATTTCTCCCCAAGTTCTCTTATCCCCACTGTTCCTCTAAGAGAAGGGGTGGAGCAGCTGTTCCCTTGTTGATTTGGCTCCTGCCAAATACTCAGAGCTGTCAACAGCAGACCACACTGACTCTCAGGGAGGAGACGGCAATTTGGGATTTTTCTCCTTTTTTTTTGGTTACAACATTGTCAGTTACTCCTGAATTAATACATGTAACAAGAGCATGGAATACAATTTTAGAGAGGTCTAAAGGAACAAGAAGCAAAGATCCTCCTTTACAATTCAGTTTCCTTTTTTTCTCAAATTTTTTGGGCAGGACAGAGATATTTCTCCTTTTGATTGTTTTTAAGATTTATTTATTTGAGAGAAAAAGAGAGAGAGTATGTCTGAGTGGGGGGGGCAGAGGAAGGGGAGAGAGGGAGGGAGGGGAGGGAGAGGAGAATCTCAAGCAGACTCCTCACTGGGTGCAGAGCCTGTTGTGGTGATCGATCTGATGACCCTGAGATTATGACCTGAGCCAAAATCACGAGTCTGATGCTTAACCAACTGAGCCACCCAGGTGCCCCGTCCTCTTGTTTTTATAGATAAATCTGTAGTAACATATTTTATTCCTTGCCGAGTGAACACTCCTTGGAGTCATTTTTAACCTCCCTCTGTTTTACGTATAAAAGTTTTGTGTTATTGGTTTTCTATAATACCAACAAATTGACCCACTTACTTCCCTCCCTTCTTCCTTTATTATGTACAGTGTCTTCATGCTGTTGAGTTAGATATAAGAAATTACCTCTGGCTACGGGTGCCTGGGTGGCTCAGTCATTAAGTGTCTGCCTTCGGCTCAGGTCATGATCCCCAGGTCCTGGGATTGAGCCCCGCATCGGGCTCCCTGCTTGGCGGGAAGCCTGCTTCTCCCTTTCCCACTCCCCCTGCCTGTGTTCCCTCTCTCGCTGTGTCTCTCTCTGTCAAATAAATAAATAAAATCTTAAAAAAAAAAAAAGTAATTACCTCTGGCTAAATCAGGTGTGGGGTTTCTCAACCTTACCATGATTGACATTCTTGAATATCTCATGCTTTGTTGTGGGGGGCTGTCCCGTGCACTGTAGGATGTTTAGCAGATCTCTGACTTCTACCCACTAGATGTCAGGAGGACCCATCCACTCATCACTGTTGTGACAGTCAAAGATGTCTGCAGACCTTGCCAAGTGTTCTGAGGAGGGACAGAATCACTCTCAGTGGAGAACCACTGACCTAAGTTAATGAAGTCTTCAAACCATATCTTTCAAGATGCAAGGTAGAATGATTCTATGAAAGACTTCGTTTAAATGCAAGGAGCCCCCTGACCCCCTTAACTTTATTCTAGTTGCTGATAAGCCACCCATGATCTATACATTCGTTTGAAGAATATTTATCGAGTATCCAGTTTATGCCAGACATTGTTCATCGTTTTAGGTGGTAATGCTCTAACAATGACTGCAGTGAAGGTGTCTTCTCTTTTGGAACTTACATTTTGTTGTAGGAGTCAGTATACAGAACAGACAAACCCACAAAAAGCAAGGCAGCATGTTAGATGGTGAAAGGTGCCCTATAGAAAGCAAAGCTCCAAGATTATGTCTGGGGAAGGGGTATAGTTCTCCATGGGCTGGCCAGGTAGGACCTCACTTCAGGGGGCATTTGAATGAGAACTTGAGGAGGTGAGAAAGAAAACCCTGTGGATATCTGGGGAAACTCTTCCAGGCAGGTAAACTTCCAAGTTCCAAGGCTCTAAGGCAGTGCCCTGACTGTCCCAGAAATATTGGGGTGGACAGTGTGGATGGAGTGGAGTCGCCTGGGGGAGAATCACAAATGCGGAAGGAGAAAGGACACGGGGACAGTGTGACATGGGAGAGGGGTAAGACTCTGATGGTCTGAAAGTTTGAAGGACTTTGGCTCACTCTTAGCATTGATGGGAAGCCACAGGGAAGTTTCGAGGCAGGGAGTTCTTGATTTCTTTTACATTCTCTGTTTCTAACATTAAAGGGCTGTGGCACACAGAAAAATAAACCCAGATCTGACAGTTCTCTACCACATAAAGTGTGAAGGCAGCGTGGCCTGAGCCACATTCTCATGAAGGGGCTAGGGGGCCCAGAATGTTGAGCTGAAGCTGTTACAGCAGCTGTTCTTCAGTGTGGCTCTTTCAATTCAGACTCACTTCCGATTGTTTGACCGACACATTGGGCAAGTGATCAGAACTTGCAGAGGATCTATTTTGGACCTTCCTGATGTTCAGTGGTCCACCTGCTACATGCACTCTCCAAAGAATTTCATTCTCTACCTCAAGTACAGATATAAATATGATAGAAAAAAATGCCATAACCCTCAGTATCCATAACAAGCAGATTTTCAGTTGTTCATTAATTCACTGATCATTCCATTTTTGAGTAATTCTAACTTGTGATTTAGAGAGTATGTTTTCACATTTATTTAGATCTATTTTTTTCTTTGTTTAATATCTATTGCATCATGCTTAACTAACCAGTCCTGTGCGGTGCATGTATCATGTGTGAAATCATTCATTCTCTAAAAACCTAATTTGGGCTGCTTTATTATCATGGCTGTTTACAAAAGAGGAAACTGAAGTACGCAAGGATCCTGCTGCTGGGACGTAGTAGAGGCTGGATTTGAAATAGGCAGTCTCATGCCCAAGCCTGGGCTCCTAAGAGGATGCTATCCCTGCCGTGGTGAGCCCCTGTTCACTAGATATGAGGCTGAAAGCAAGAACCAAGATGTGCTTCATGCTACCACTGGTCTCAGTGCAATAGAGTGTGGACAGGTAGGGCAAAGAGTTGAAGACTTGAATCTCTTGGGTGATGCCTGTGGAATGAACACAGAAGACCTGAAATGTTTTTTTTTCCTCTATTGCAATATAGTTGACATTGAATGTCACATGTCTGGGGTGACAGTACAGTGACAGAACAAGTCTACCACCCATCACCAGACAACACTGTTACAAGACCATTCATTGACTATAATTCTTATGCTGTGCCTTTCATCCCCATGATTTACTCCTTCTATAATCAGAAGCAGTGACCTCCCACTCCGTTCATCCATTTTGCCCATCCCCATTCCCCTCCCCTCTGGAGATCACCAGTTTGTTCTCTGTGCTTATGCAAGATCTAAAATATTAGGTGCTAAATAAAAGGAACAAGAAAACATAGAGCAGGAGGAATGGATTTAATTTTAGGAAGACTTTATGAAGTGGGGAGTTTGAGCTGGCCAAGAAGGAGCCTGGTGTTGATCATGACTGGTGGGTGAGGTAAAGAAAGAAGGCCATTCCAAGCAGAGGGTAGAGCAGGAGTGGAGAAGCCGGGGGTAAGAGAAAGGCCACCTCCTGGAAACAAAGGGGCCTAAGGGGCCTGGTGCTCAGGGCAAGCGGGGAGGCTGGAGAGGGAGGACTGAGGGCCGCTCAAGAAGGGTTGAGGGAGGTTGGGGCTTATTCTGTTAGCAGGGAGAACCTGAAGGCTTTCAGACTGGAGATGGAGATATCAGAGCAGTTGATTAGGAAGAAAGTTTTGGCTTCAGTATGAAGCAAGTTAGAGAGGAAGGGAGATTTTTCTGGAGGGATTGGTTGAAACTCCAGAAATAAGCATCAGAGAGAGAACCCTTATATTTTATATTTTGTGCCTCTTAGGAGAAGGTCTTTATTTCTCTGCTTTTTTAATATGAGAGAGAATTATAAAAATGGAATAGTCGGTGCTCCACTGTTGCCTTTATAGTATATGAAATAGTATTCAGTAATGCCTTCTTTTCTATTTAAAAACAAAAATTGTATTTCTTGGAGAAGAGTATGAATATTTTTTTTTTGTGAGAATACATTTTCTTTAATCAAGTCATAAACTAAAACTTGATTTACACTTTCAGAGAAAATGCAAACTACATTTCAAAATGTCTAAGTATAAAGTATTGAATGTACTTCAACTTTTAATCTCTCTCAAAATGATAATGTGCTAAGTGCATTTCAGCCTGTTAAATAAAAAGCCTGTTCTGAATTTACTGTATCTTTTAATCAGGGTGAATGTGCT